ATTTCAGCAACTGCTTCTAAGCTTTTTATTCGCTTCAAATCTCTCCCCCCCATCTGCTTGCTCCCTAAGCCATAAAGAAGACTTTGCGTATAAGAACGAGAGTAAAAATTATTCTGCTGCTGCTGCTTATGGACTGAGAGTTTGCGCGTCGTTATGAGATCCGTAGTCTAGTCTGTCGTCCATTGTGATGCACTGATGCCGAAAAATCAGATTATCAGTTTGTGGAGCGAGGTCGAATAGTTGATCCTACACGTATATTGCTCTACCAAGATGTCTAATTATTTTTGATCGAGTACGAAAGTAAAGGAGGAAAAGATGACCCCTTAGCGGTTTTCAGCTGCTTCCTTCACTTCGAAATCAGAAGGGATTGACGTGCGCGCCGACTAAGTGGCTATTTTGAGCTTCCTCTATGACCGCGGTTCTAATAAGTCTATCCAGTCAAAGGGGTGAGTGCTAGGTGTTAGGAGAACCCAGCGGGTCTGACGTCTAGCCAAGCCTAGTGTGAATGAGGCCTTCGGAGCGCCAAAGAATGGCTTGTACGGCTAAATTTCCCTTCATTTACACCAATTACAGGGCTCAATAGCCAGATCCTATAGCCTCTTTGACTTTTTTTGCTGTGAATCACAAAGGGAGGAAACGTTAACCCCTTCGCTTAATTCAATTGAATTTAAGTCGTCGCTGTAACGGCTAAGGAGGTGCTAACTCACAGATACACGCATACACTCACAGTCATGTGTTTAGAGACTCAAAGCTTGGGTCCACTACATAAAGAACAACACGAAGACTCAGCTAAACGCATGCCAAATATCCGGCATCATCCAATCAGAGTCGGCTGAGGAGAGCAATGAAGTCATCGCATAGAACCAATTTTACTCCAAATTATATACGCTGCGCATCTCTGGGTGAGGCGGCATTCTACATTTCGTTGACGACCACTGCGCACACGCGATGGCAGTAATGGCTCAAGCGTCCAAATGCATACCGCAGGAGGAAGACCCCTGTTCCAACAAACCTCGCTTCATCCGCCACGACCTCAACGAGAAGTTGGAGTCCTTCTTTCTGGAGATGGTCTATCGCGCCTGTGCCGTGTATGAGGATCCGGTCGAACTCTGCACCGCCATAAAACAGTGTCTGGACAAGAAATTCGGTCCGATGTGGCATGTCATTGTAGGACAAACCTTCGGCAGGTTAGTTTTTCGCTTTTGCGCCATGTCCATGCATCGGTTCTCGATGACGTTCTGGCACGGAAATAGCCGTCTGGTGTGGTTAATATCTGTCACTAGGGCTGAGGTGGGTTGAGACCGGGTGAGCTGAGGAAAACCAAGGTTAGGCGTTTTTCGCTTCACATTTTGATCGGGCATTCAAAACCAAACGATTGTAGTTATCGGTCTTTTTATTACAGACTAGCAATTATAGCAGGTTTCCGAAAAGTCGAGACAGAAGCCGCGAATTTATCTACTGCACCTGACCACTGAGAACTAAAACACTGTACTTCCTGTAGTTACAGGAAGCGGATTGTCTTATTGCAAGTGTACAGGAATAATATAATCTTGAGTTTCAGCGAAAAGGTTGCCGACGGGAAGGTAACTCATAATCTGGGGTCAGACATTCCGTACAGCAGATGACAGCTAAGATCCTCAGTGTCAGTTTCTGTTTTTGTCTTGACGAATGAGGCGGTGCTAGGTGTATGTATATATGATGAATAGTTGAGGTAGTGTGCATTCCGAGATAACATGATGAAGAGAGAAGGCTCATCGGAAAAATCGAGTTATATATATATATATGTCAATAAACATAAGCTATCATTCAGATGTCCATCCATCCAAGGAAGTCAGTTGGTAAACGTATTTTTCACTATCGAACGACATGCAGTGCAGGACGAGTTAGTGATGACGGTGACTCCAACGCGGCGTGGAATAGTGATAAATTTGACCAATGTACGCAACCGACCCTTCAGATTTATAACGGAGGAGCCGATGCCTACTTCATCAGAACCGACGTTAAACTTATTGGCTTCACTGTAGCCGCAGAATTTATCACTTATTATACTCATAATGCTGAGATAAAAAAGAAAGTTCTGTTTACCAACGACATTGCTCCAGCCGCATATCTTAAAAGATGCAGAAAACGGTCTCCAATGCCGGAGACAAAATATTTCATGCAGTGAAGGCAAACACAAACATTAGCCTATTTTCTAACTGACGAAAAGCCATCAATAGTTGTGTTAGACAGATCAGCGTACATCAGCAAGTCAGGACATTTCTAGAAGTTAAACACAACCCCTTTCTTTGCGAATATAACAAAACATTGGACTTGGCAGACAATTTCTAAAATATCCGAAAGCAAGGGCAGTAACGTGGATCGACTTAAAAAAACATTTTTTGCTTTCCCGATGATTTATAATTTGATTTGGTTCTCTGAGAAGAACACGAGTCTTCGGCCTGGTCACTTGGGTGCTTTAACGCCCTTAAGTTTCCGAATTGGGGCTTCAAGACCGGAAGTCGTTCCATTTACCAATGACGAGATAATATTGTATTTCAAGATAAAGGAACTTTCCACATTATTTTGGGCCTAAATCCACGCATGTCCCCCTAGAGATGAACGTCACAATAAAGCTGCTAAGAAAACCCCAGTTAAGGAGGCCTGATGGAGCCACTTTAAGACCTACTCCAAATTTCACAGAGCTACATACGAACCGCGTGGGTCGCCAGTGTCCAGACACAACTCGGACGTTGAATGAATATGATGGTTCTGAACTTCACTGACCGAAGTTGTGGGCACGGTGGGGAAATGACGCATATTTTCTTAGTAAGTGATTTTGACTAATACTTCGGCATGTGTATGTAACCTGTCGGCTATCTGAGGTCAATTTTCCGGCAACTTCAGTTAGTATCGCTGGTCTCTGTCGCGAGATATGACCATTTGCCGATGAATCGAGGTGAAACCTCAAAATGACAGTCTGTCCTTATTCCGCTCATATTTCCCATTTTCACGGCCAGCACCCCGTTTTATGCAAACGGAGGCGCTGAATAATCTGATGGGTGGTCAACGACTAATAGCATTCAGCTTATCTTCCCCCGGAATTAACCAGAGGACGTAGTTAAATCTCCCGTGCTTCTGCCTCATACCTTAAATTGCCAATGTGTCCTCAGAATGCTCTAGATTCATGAGCGAACTTGGGATGTGGTGCCCTACAGCCTACCATAACTCGGTGCCCACCCCTCTCACGCATCAGCTGTCTGTTTGTCGTTGCCTGTCTTGTCGCGCAAGCCGATCTAGTCTGCCGATTTCATTTTCCCCTCTGTTCATTTCGTCTGACGACGGGTCGGTATCACTGACTTGTAAATTTACGAGTAAAACTCGATTTTCCGATGAGCCCTCTCTTTTTCATATGTATATATACAATGACTTGGCCGACTTCGGCCTAGTAATTGGTAGCCTGTTCGTAATCTTTGCCACCCATACGGGGCTTGTTTGCTTCGCGAAGCCAATAGATCGATGTGCGCAAATTTCTGATTGAATATATATATGTCAAGTGAAACAGCTGTGTGCGTCTGGCCTGTTGCACTCTTAGCGTGTTGCCTATATATGTATGTATGTATGTATGTATGTATGTATGTATGTATGTATGTATGTATGTATGTATGTATGTATTACGCTCATAGCCCCCTGAATAAAATAAATAAGGAGTGGCAAACTGGCAGAACTAATGCATCTGACCAAGCCGTAAACCCCGAAAAACTTTGCAAGTTGAAAACTGCGTGGTCTACTGGGATACGTGACGAATTATGAAGGAAGCAGGAGATTAAATGCTGAGGGAAAAATGTACACTATTTGATAGCTAAGCGGCGTCCCTACAAATTCTACGTGTGCCATTTTTTAACTTCCTTTAGGCTTTTTTCCGGTTTATGGCTCACATTTTGTTCTTTTGTTTTTTAGCCACTTCGAACATGACCCAAACAGCTTTGCCTACATCCAACACAAGGGACTGTCCTTCCTCATGTTCAAGTTTGGCTAAAATCTACCTTTCTCGTGCCTGACGGCTTCTGTACCCGATCAAATTGAAGTATATTGTTTTAACACCCTCTCAATCCAGTACATTGCTTGCAGGACTTCTTTGCTAAAATTCAAAGTTGACAACAATAATTTTTGGCAGACTTTGAGTTTGTCAACCCTTCTAGATAGGTTACGTCTGAGGCGGGAACCACGTAAAAAAGTCGGCAAATTAAACAAAAGTGATTGAAAGCGAAATTTAGAGTTCCGGCTGTTTGCATAAGTTAAGAAGAAGAAGAAGAAGAGGGGTCGAACACCGGAGTCGTGCAGGAGGCCATCGTCAGATATAGTAGCCGCAACAGAACAAGCGACAGCCGGACCAATCATCGACTGACGGTGCAAGACTGGAGGTGACTGTGCAGGGCTCTGTGCGCCGGCGCCAGATCGATAAATCGATTGACTGAATCCTCATCCGAGGCCCAGGCTTCAATCAATTTTCGGCATCATACAGGCTGATCCTAGCGGTTATCGGGGAGGATGGGATTAACGTGAAATAGTTCCTACCTCAAAAGAACGCGGACTAATAGAAGTACAGAGCTAAAAATCATTGTCGTAATTAATTTCGTCGTACTTACCAATACTAAAACATCCAGAAGCTAATGTGAATGCCATAGTCTTCGTAAGCGACCAACAGCTCTTGTAATTATTCAATCCATGAAACTGCTAGTGTGACCTTTGAGGCCTGAAGAGAGTTGAGGATTGAGGAGAAACTGTAAAACCATAGAACCGCAAGAGTGAAAATCCACGTGGTCAGCTACCCTGTTTGGTTGCAGCTGCGTCAAGGTGGATGCAGGTAATAGTATTTCTCCGAGCGATTGCGCCATCACAAGTCTCAATTCCCCAGGACTGGGTTAGGAGTCTTCAGACACAACATCTGTGTCCGTCAAAACAACCACCAGTCATGTGAATTTTAAATTCATTCGTGTTTGGAAGTCGGTTTCGACTACTGCGGGAGATCACAATTAGTCATTATGGTTTTTTGGATCAGACTATACAGACGCAGTCTTTCCTGACGTTGCATAGGCTGATCCAGGTCCCTTGAAGCGGGACAAAGAGAAGAAAGTGGTGATGGCTTTGGTGGCGTCAGTGCTTACATCTGTTTCACGACCCGTGAACAGAAGCCAAAGATCATAATTCAGTCATTATGTCCATCGTTCCGAGACAACACTGGTACCTGCGGCTGTTACTGTTTTCGCTGGGTGACCATTGTTATAAGTTGTAAAAAAGTTGAACAAACGATCTCTGGACTAGAAGGTGTATTAGTCTGAGCTTTCGATCTCGTACAGAAGGCCATCGTCAGAGACTGTGAGAATGTGGCATAAGATGAGCAGTTTTTTAGTCAAGTAATGAATGGGGGGGTATATGAGTGCAGAGGGTGGTATTCGCGATAAGCTGAGGCCCACGCCGTCTCACGGCGGCGTGACTGCGTGCACCCTTGGCTGGAAATTGGATCTCGCCTCTTGGTCGCGGGAACGAAGCACGTGATAGCAAGCGGGTATGTCAACGTGTCTGTTGATAGAGTTGGTATCAGACACCCAGGCCTCCAACAGCTCTCTGCCCGTCTTATTGTTGGCTCGCGTTACTATCCGCGTGCCTACGAAGTTGAATTCGTAGCCTTCCTACAGGATGTAAGTGGCAACTTGAGACAACGGGTCGCCTCTCCGGACCGCCCGTTTATGCTCCGGCATTCGTGAGTTAAGTCGTCGTCCGGTCTGCCCCTGTGTAGTGGCGAGGGCAGTCCCGACATGGGATCTGATAAACGACACCCGATTGTTCTGCCACGTCTATTCGGTCCTTCACTCGCATGATTTTGTTGTTCATGGTCGCCGTCGGACGGTGAGCGACCACCCTCTGCACTCATATTCGCCCCCCTTTCATGACTTGACTAAAAAAACTGCTCATTCGATGCCACATTCTCACAGTCTCTGACGATGGCCTCCTGTACGAGACCGAATGCTCAGACTAATACACCTACTAATCCAGAGCTCTTTTGTTCATCTTTTTTACAACAAGAACCTGGGATTCGCATATTCGCTTCCATTGTTATAAGTGTCTGTTATCCTCTTTGGGCGTCTAGTATCAGGAAGTGCTTTGTGTGTGGACTTCTGACGGAAGTCGAGGCATTTCAGGCGGCCTGAGAGGTCAGAGTGTGTGGCGTCGAGTTTCGCGACCGACAGGCTAGCGGTTCCGCTCACTTAACGCCTCGAGGGAACTGTAACGTCTAAGCGGTGGGAGTACGTACAATCTTCAGGCCAAACCACGAGAACTCACCAGGATCGGGCTAATGTTGATTGCGTCCAGTCATGGCTGAGAGTTCCTGAGGCAGTGGTGGTGGCCGTTTTTGTGGGACATGTTCAAGTGGTGTTCAAAAGGTCTGTGTTGCATTTGCCGAGGGGTGGGGTTCAAATGGCTTACGTTGTCTCCGCGGAGGGGGTGGGGGTGTTCAGGGGGCGTATGGGCAGCCACGAATCATTGGACGTCCAGTAAGTTGAAGTCTGTCTAGCTGATGCAGGTCGGCGCGTCTGAAACCACAGCCATCCGCGCCTCAGACAATGTAAACAAACGTAAAAAATCCAGCTGATTCCCTGGAAACCATGTTGGAATTCATACTCAAACTGTAGGCTTGACATTTCGTTTATTAGTAAAGCGCGTTTAAGTGCAACCCTCGCAAAGGTACTATTTACGAATCTTATTCTACTTTGCACTATTTTATCCGCTCTATTTTTTCCTGCATGGCCAACATTTCTGTCCATTAAAAACTCAAGTATCCATGGGTACAACGATTTTCGACATTTTCAGACTTTTCAACTTTTTTTTAAAATTTCTGTATTTCTAAGCAGAGTATTATTACCCCTGATATTTCTTTCATATCGTCAATTAGCTTGAAGTCGTTTATTTTTATTTCGAAACTTTAGTTCATTCTCCCCCACCGGTCTGCGAGAGATTGACAATCTTTCATAGATTCCGACACCTTGATAAGATCTTATTTTGCGGTCGCACCTGGTAGGAGTTAGTTCTAGGGTTTAGGGTTGGTGTTAGGGACTAAGTGTCAGGGGTTAGGGTTAGGGGTTAGTGTTAAACCCCCCCTATCATCTCGTCTTTGTCAGTAATAATACTCTGCCCATATTGCGCGCCCCTGTTCGGCTGCTGGTTAGGCTCGAGAGTCATAGCCCATAAGGCACAACGTGAAGAGTGAGTTGCGTAACACTATCAGTGAGAGCCCCACTATATCATTGTATATTCCCGATTGCAATCGACAGGGCATTGAGCCCCTGACTCTCACCTTGGACCTCTAGCTAACAGGTCGGGAGTTCGAGCTCCAGGTGTTTCACACTTCGGGGTTGGGTATGGCTGGCGGACGACATCTAATAAGCCAGAAATGGCCATTCCAGTCCCCTTGCCTTTGCCAGTAATCCCCTACTGTTAACCTATCGCGATAAGCTGAAAACGCGTTTTCTGGTAATGGTGAAAAAACTATATACTGAATTCGATCTAGATCAACCCAGATCTCTCCCTTCTGCAAGTCACTAGGGCTTTGTCTAAACCTTTCAACTGACCTCATCAAGGTATCGTTTCATAGCTCATCCGACGATGTTTGCCATGTGCTCCACAGCCAGGTGAGGCAGGCACGACGACTTATGTGGGAAGTAGTTTATGGTTGTACAGCATCTACCGCACTCTCTCCACCCCTCCGGGACCTGGGGTCAAGACAGAGCAAAAATGACCGGAAGCGGGGTGGGTGCAGGTGGATGGCGCGGCCGAGACCGCACCCTGGTGCCTCACTGCGTACCCCCTTGTCCACGGCAAGCACTTGACCGGGATTTTGACCAACAACGACGGCGACGACAACAACAACAGAAAAGACGTGGGTTACTGGGCGGCCATACACACGACCTGTATACCCAGCGGGGGCGCGAGCGCATCTATCGACAGGGAACCAGATGTCAGAGGACTGCCAGCACAAAACAGGCTCCGAGGGCCATGATTTGCTGATACTACCATAGCGCAGGCTTTCAGATCCCCTAACTTAATCTTTATACCACTCGACTGACAGGCAGTACTAGTCTATGCTCCATAGAAGGGAAATAGCGGAAACAACAATAAGGTATCCTTTCCCTCGTTGTTATGGATCTGAGGGTTTCAGTCTCTTACGATCAGCTGAAAGTCGTGGCTTCGAAGATTGCCGGTTGACGGGACAAATCAATTCACCTTCAAAACTTAGAAAAGACCACAACGGCTCCCTTGTAGTGTGATCCCACAGTCTTGTAAGAATCGCGACTCCCGTCATCCATCAAAATTGATATATGAAACGACCAAAAATTGATTTGCTATCACACTAAATGCTAACCGAAGTTTGAAAAGGTAGCTTAAGTAGGGTTGTCGTGTTAACTATCGTGTCGCATTTTTCTAAGTTATTCCAGTCAAGTCAGAATTCTGGTTTTAGAACTAGCCCTTTATTTATTAACTGTGCAAGCAAAATCTCGTAAAAGCATAGACAGTGCCTTGTGCGGGAATTAGCTTATTGTGAGTACAGACTTGCGCAGCACTTAACGCACTCTCACTTCCTCACTCCCCACCTGGAACCGGTGTCAGAACAGAGTCAAGAAGACCGGAGGCGGTGAAGGGCGCAGGTGGTTGGCACGGCCGGATCCGCACCTAGGCGTGCCACCACACTCCCTGATCCAGAACATACACTTGACCAGCAACAACCACATCCCACCTGGAGTCCGGTTCGTGTACGCGATTTCACGAATCTGTGTTGAACTTAGAGTCCACGAAACGGCAACTACTTACACGGAGAAATGACTCCAACCTATGGTAGCCGGCGAGTCTCCTTCAACACTCAAAGATTTACATAAAAGGCCTGGCCGGGATGTGGAAAGGGAGTCGGTTGGGGAGCTTGATACTAGGTCGACCACGACTCCCAAGTACATATTCAGTCGCATGAACCTAATCTTGCCATTG